GTTCATGGTTTGTCTATGAGAACGAATAACAACGCCGAGGGTACACATTTATTTCTTTTTCTCTTGAAAACTCATACTGTTATATTCCTTTTAGCATTTCACAGTCGTTTTAATCGTCGAGTTTTAGTTCATCATCCAAATATCTGGTCTTTTATAAAATTTCTTCAAGGCGAAGAGAGCCGTTTTTACCATATGAATATTCAGTTCGCTGCAGGTCTAGGTGCACGGGCAAAACAAGCAAAAACTATAGTAATTCAACGCCGTACAGATTGTCTTGATAAACGATATTATGATGGTCTTATTAATGTAATGGAGTATTTAAATGGTTTGTCTTTTACAGTTGCTAAACGGAAAAAATGACATTTTATAATTATTTCTTTTTTTTACTCTTATTTATCTCTGATCTATGCTATGATGCTATCATCATTTCAAGAATAAAAACATCTTAGTGCAAATTTTCGATATTTTTCCTTTCGATATTTTTCCTTTCGACATTTTTCCTTTCGGTCTTTCTACGGCACACCTGCAAAAAGACCTTGGGGCCTTCTCTAAACGTAGCAACTTAAAAGTGATGCAATACTTCTAAAATTGTGGAGTGACAAATAAGGTGAACACGGCGGGAAAATCTCGCTTTAATCGCTGACAGAAACTCAAAACGTAGATCTCTTTAAAGTTGCAACACATAGAGAGGGTCTCAGATTCATTCTCTTAGGATAGGAGAACTTCTAATCTCTAAAATGGGTTGATTTTCAAATTTTGAAGCTTCTTCTTGATCGTTAACTTATTAAGTAGAAATTAAATGCTAATGGAATTTTAAAGAGGCATTACAAAATCTCTTTACGTGAAGTTCTCACGAAACAAAGCGTAGAGCTCGCTCTCATAGTATACTCAAAAGGCGCGCATTATGAGACACGATTTTTCTGAAACTGCTATTAATAATATTTTATAACAATTAAATATTTACATATCATAATTAACAACCTTTTAAGGACTATTTATACTTAAATTTTCTCTATTCAATTATACTTCGGATGATACAGTGTCTAAAATTTAAAGTTGGCTGTTGAAGTCATATATTTTATCTCATTTAGTTCGTCAAACCAACAGCCTTCAAAGTATTCATCGCTATTTTTAATTTTGTTTATCGCGCAAAATAACGCCTATAGTATTGTATCCTTATTTTTAATTTTCTCCTGGAAAAAGAGACTTTACAGAAAAATTCAACCTTATTCAGCATCAACTTGAACAATTTTGGTCAGCAAAGATATTTTTATAAGCATTTCATTTTTTTTTAAACTTTTCGCCATCGTTTTAGTTACAAAACTCAAACAAATCTGACGTCAACGCAAGACCACAACTACATACATTAGTTGACTCAAATTGTTTACGTTAATACTGAATAAGGCGGCATTTCCCTATGAAGTCTCTTTTTCTAGCAGGAAATTAAAAAAGAAGGATAGAATGATGTATAGGAGTTATTTTGCACAAGAAGCGACAAACAAGCGATACGTACTATGAAGACTACTGATGTGAAGAACTAAATGAGATAAAATATATGACTTCATTAGTCAAACAGAAAAAGTAGATTAACCCGGGTGAATGAATCCGACTCCCCGGCAGAATCCGATAGGATTCCTGGACATGGACCTATTGCCGGTTTCGACGGAAAAAATCATTTTCTTATTCACGATCAAGTAAGCATTTTGAGTCATCAGAACGCAAGGGTGATTTGCTAGAGTTGGATTCCGTTAAAACCCAACATCGGATCCGCCTGTAGGTCCGTGTCCAGGAACCCCATAAGATTTCGTCGGTTTTATTGAAACACGTATGGTATTCGGTATATTCATTGTCTGGCCCTTATTAGAATCCAATAGAATCCTACTGTACTGTCGGAATGATTTTCCTGGATAGTTTACAAAAATGACCTATAAGTATTACAAGTCGTGCGATTCCAAAGACCAGCATCAGACAACTTCAGTGATTTTATACCAATTTAACACATGGTCTGTGCTCAGCTTTTACAATAAATCTGAAGAATAAGTTTTAGGAGCTGATAACAACACTCTATGAAATTTTGAAAACAAGAGACCAAAAATAACCATCTACTGAAGATTTGAATTTTCCGCAGCTTACTTTTTGAATTTTTTTCATAAACTATTGTGGTCTAGTTCATATATGTGATTTTGCCTGTTGTCGTGACTTTTTCCATTCATATTATATAATCAGGATAATTTCTATGTTTTTCCTTAATTCCTTCCGTATTAAATATCGTAGATATACATCATGACTTCCTGCTTTCTTAGTTAACATCAATACGAAACAGAAAGCATTCAGCATTCATTATATTATATTTTTGATCTGTACATCACTAAAAAAAAGTAAACTAGATTTTCGTCTACTTATTAAAATAGTTCTATTATTTACCACTGTTGCAGAGCGTCTAAAGAGTCTCCCACTTCTTTATTACAAGAAATAGTCAATATAACAATTGTACAGCTCTTCTGAACGCTTTACTGACGTTTAACAATTTTGAAAGCCATATTTCTAGATATAAAATATGACTCTTGCTACATTGTTCATTAGATTCACGTAATAATGCAAGTTTTGGCTATTATTAAGTTTGTCAAAATTACTCTTCTCGTAATACTAATTATATTTGCATTAATTTACGCAACTACAATCGTTCTCATTCGACGTCATATGCACGTTTTTATATTGAACGTATGCTTGACGATAATTTTTGCTGGTATCTATTGGCTTGTGGATATTATATTCTTGCAATATTATGTTACATTTCGAATCAGCGAGAATATATGCACTGCTATATTCTATGCACGAATGGTGTGCAGTTGCCAAATGGCATTCTCCTTGGTTGTCATTTCTGTAAATCGATTGGTGTACATGATTTCTCCCAAAAAACGTTTTTTCAAAAAGAATTATTGGTCAGCAATTTGCATTGTCAGTCAATTGATGATAGGTTTTATTGCGCCGTCGTGGCTGAGTTTGAGAAATGCCTCGGTGAGCATTTAATATTGACTTTTCTAAATAAACGAAGTTGCTACTTCTTCTTTTGATAAATAATCAGATAGAATAATCCAAGTCAAATTCGGCACATTTCACACTGCTAAGCAAATAAATTTTCTGCAAGAAGCTTTATTTTCGAAATGTTACGAATTTAAGAGTAGGGTCGATTGAGTTTCATTTGTACTACATTCTTAATTTAGTTCATAGGGGGTAGGTTACCATTTATCACAAAACTGGTGACACCACAAATCAATCCCCAAATCACATCCCCATTTTTTGGGATAATAAAATAATTAAGGTAGATTCTGGTCACCAAATGAGGATTTTAATTTGGGGATTATTTTTTTGGGATGTTTTTATTATAAGATACACTATATATATATATATATATATACTGTAATTCAACAGCATCTTATCACTTATATCATAATGCACACGTATTTAAATTCAAATGTCAGATATTTGAAATGTACTATTAGATCGTTTTGAGTATATATAACCATTAACACGACGTTTTATACAATGTTATAAAACCGAAATAGTGACATTATAAATTTATCTTCCGATAAAATTAGCCTCATAATATAACATTATTGTCAATGAATATCTTTTATTCATTAGTCTTCAAATACTTTTTGTTATATGTGCATTGCTACTCACTCTTATAAATAGCATTACAACTGCACAGTTAGTAACAGTAGTACCTTATGATAACAACATTTGCAAAAAAATAGTCCCCAAATTAAAATCCCCATCTGGTGATCAGAATCTGCCTTAATTATTTTATTATCCCCAAATGGAGCTGTGATTTGGGGATTGATTTGTGGTAACCAGTTTTGGGGTAAATGATAGTCATTCCTCATAGGGACCTCTTGTTTTGTCTTTGTGTAGATTTGTGATAACCCGCTATGGTTGGAATATTATAGAATGGCAATGGTTGTTATTTTCCCATCATTTTTATCACTCATTGCAAACGGTATTATATTCAATTTTGTTCATTCCTCATCTCGTCGAATATTACCACACAGGGAAATTGCTTCAACGAGTACTATAAGTTTGCAAAGAAGAAAACTCTGCCATCGCGATATTTACCTACTAAAGCATATGATATTCATGTTCATTGTTTATATTGGAGGATGGGGACCTATCTATATTGTTGCATTGCTTAATGGTCCTTATTATTCTGTGTCAGTTACGCAGAGTCTTCTTTACGTATTGGGTGAAATCAGTACGTTGTGTAATATTGCCGATCTGTTTTTGTATCACCATGCAGTTAGGCGATATTTGCTCAATAAAATTCAACAATTTTTTTGAAAGAATTTTTTCAATTTTTATAAATAAAAATTAAATTATTCGTAATCTTGAGATGCCGATAAAAACTATGGGCAATGCTAAATACAAAGAATGGTCTTGACCAACATTTTTCTATCTGTATCATTCTAAACAAGCCATTGCGCAAGAAAGCAGGTAGTTGTTGTCAGGAACTAAGTGTCACTCATTTATTGCAAAATTCAACTAAAATTTTGAATACTCTAAAAGTCTTCCTGATAAGACAAGACTCCAGTTATGAAAAAACACTACATATCGAATAGATGACTTGATTATTTTTGACAAAGCCATATAAATTATCTTGTTATTACATGTCGCAAGTACCATAGGATATTAGAGAGTTCTAGACTTTGCTTCGAGATGTAAGTCCCTAATGATCAGTTCCATCTCCCGCGCGATTGGTTAGAATTCTGAAAAAAATTCTCAATACTTTACAAGACGAATATGAGAACCCTTCGTAAATAATTGATTTCTTGTGTGTTGACACATCATCAACTTAGAATATCCATCTGATAGCAATATTTTTTAATTTACCGACCATCATCCGTCTTTTGTATGATTCTTGCACGACCGCATATAAACGATAAACTGATGTTTGTTTGGTAACGGAAATAAAGAAACCGAATAATAATGAATGAACCTGGGATTCACCCTGCTGGTCTTCATGTTATGGAATGCATCGTTTTTGTGGTACAAAACCAAAATTTCTGTACTAGAAAAACGAAAGAAATCACTGCGTATTGTAAGGTACTATTAGTCTGTCACTACATCATTTTTTTCACGGTTCATTTTTATTCTTCTGTTTCCTATGCTCAGTCAAATGTATTTGTGCAGTTTTAACTTATGTTCTTCTTTTCTGAAATGGAATTGATGGTAGTTAAACTTTGATTATTTAAACAATCTATTGGCTGTTACAAATAGACCGTAGAATATCTGAAGATGATTCCAGAGATAAAGACTATTTGTATATATGACAATTCTTTTTCAAATGTTGTGCAACAAAACACTATCACTATATCCAGAAGGACAGATTTAACACAAGATTGAATAATTTTTCCGAAAGGTAATTTGCTTTAAAAAACAAATGCTGAGATTATTCAGCTGAACTTTGTGTTGTTTTCTATGCTCATAATCATTAAAAGTACTGTCAAGTGTTACTATTGTTCGCGCTTTCTTTTAAAACAGTTGTTTTTGTATAGTTCAAAAACAAATTCCGTTTGAACTTTCTTGCTCAAATTAATTTTGTCCTATTTTCATTACCATGACAGTAGAAAGGGAAAGTATTTCTAGTCGTATACTTGAGACCTTTTCCAGTGTCTTAAATCTATGGATTATTATAATTAGAAGTTTACGGAAGATCATAGAGAAGAATATATGAAAATAACAGGGATCTAAGTGCAAGATGTTAAGGTTTTTGAAAAGTGTGTATAATAGGACATTGTCTTTGCCAACAGAAGCATAATCAATTTTTGAAGAATGGAAAAATTATTGAAAATGACCCACACTAAGAGGCCGAGAAATACTAAAGAAGAGTTATTTTTAACATAATAATACTTTTCTATATGCCTCTTAAGTGAAAGAAAGAAAGAAAGAAAGAAAGAAAGAAAGAAAGAACAGGACATGAATCAGAACAAACAAGTAAACGAAAGAAATCATTTAGTAATTTCCCAATTTGTTTCTTTATGGAAATATGCTTTTTTTAGAAAAGTCCTTGTATACAATAGTTTGCTAAAAACTTATCAGACTCTAAACTTTACCTCAGGTGAGTTCACCCAATGAGGTAGATTCTATACACATGGTTATTTCTCTCTCATTTTCTACGGTCATTAATGTATAACAAAAGAAAATAAATTTTCTTAGGGGGAAACAGCTCGTTCTCATCAAATATATCATAACAAATGAAATAACTATAGAACTTTAAATAACAGAGTTGACATAAAATAATTTATTTAAAAAACTACTCGTTATTCAGTACTTCGATGAACTAACCCATTATTTCCCCGAAATAACATGTGCAAAATTATAGTACGAGGGAAAAAGTATATAAAAAGGAGATTTTAAATTAATATTGAGAGAATAGATAGAGGATTGGAGAATATATATATATACATATATATGAGTGTAGAGCGCGCTCATTTTACCGTGCGGTTTGAAAAATAAATGCTGATAAATCAAGCTTTACTCAACCTATTTAGATATTTATTTTTATTCTATTGGTCTAAGAATAATCGTTCACTTCTAAAAGATTAAGTTTCTAGCTGTTTTAGTTTCTGTGAACTTACTGTACCAACACAAATTGGACAGAAATCAATTTGTTTTCAACGGTCTTTATGCCGATGCTTCTCGTGCTCGTCGCGAACTTGTAGAATAGGTGATTAGTTTAAGCTCTTGACAAAGTTTTATAAATGGGAAACTATCAATGATCGGCGTCAAGTCACTTTTTATTTTTTGTAGAGCGAGATTAAAATCATTGGTTTTCAATGTCAAGGTTGTGAATTGAAGCCAATTTTATCAAACAGAACCGAGAGAGGAGGTGGAAGGCGTCGACGTGCGCATAGGTGTAAGTGGAAGTGTAAATGTTGATCTTTTCTTCACCCTCATTCTACTCACCCACCCACACTCAAATCAGGGAATCTTTTATTAATAATGGGTACACCATTGCAACATAATTTACATGAATTATTGGTATTACTGAATTTTGTTTTAGCTACCTGATGAATTTCACTTAACAGTTTGGTTTTCATACACAAAAATGCTTAGCCGAGGATAAATATTTTACTTCATGTTTAAATGATATATTAAAACCATTTGTACTAAGGTGTTTAAAAATTTTTGTGAAAAAACTACCAAGATTGGAAACAAAACTTGATGTAGATTCATTAAAATTACGATGCTGGCATCGGGATAGGAAAATTCTAATAAAAAGTATTGATACAGTATATCCGTCACGTCTATACGTATGTTATATTGAGACACCTGAACGCACTTCAAGAAATCAAAAAATTAAAATAATTATTTTCTCCGATGATAGAACAGCCATGTTATTTCAATCTCCCTATTAAGGTAAGCTGAGATAGTTGAGGCCGACTCATGTTTCACATCGTTTCTAACCCAGGCTTCTTGTTTTCATCAAAATTGTTTCTATTTTCTCTTTTCCCCATTGGATGAATCGTACATATATTTTTCTCTTTCTTCACCTTAGCAGCAACTCGCTCAGATAAATATAAATTAAATCGTATTTATTTTTCTGTTTACTCTTCTCATGCAAACAGTCACGGTCGATGTATTTGCTTCTTAAGGTAATGCATACTCGTTCGTTACTGAAGCATTTCTATCGATCACTGACTTGCGTGCGTCTATTTTTATATTTTATCGTTTACCAACAATAATCTTAGACAACGATGAGTTGCAGAGACTGTTGTGGGTGCCCAAAATTTATTAAAAGTTGCTCGATTCGAAACGAATCTAATGGTGATGTTCACGTTTATGTGAGTTACAAAAAGCTTGGCTCTGATTTAGGCGACAGTGAGGGTCACCAATATGATGTGGCCATACCTCAGGGTGAAACTCATCGAGTAGAACATAGAATTGTCAAACACGATCTAGCTGATTATAACTCACAAATTAATAAGATTGACGTCACTTTGGTTAATGGGAACCAGTTGCATGTAGAAGAACCATTTGATGGTGTTCGTGAAATTCAAAACGACTGGCTCTTTGTTATCAATGATCAAAGTATCAAATCGCTTCCAGCCGAGAACTAAATAGAAAAACAAACAAAATATATTTTTCATACAACTTTCACAGGCTAACACTTTTCCAATAGTCTAATCATTGTAGTTTTTGTACTCATCATGAAATAACCTAAAACGAAATTTCATACTAATATATTTAATAAAAAGAATTCCAAATAAAATATAATATGAACTTGATAATACGAACTTATGCGTTATTTAGAAAGCAAGGATAAGTGCAAAAACAAGGCGCACTTCTGTGCTACAACGATAAATTGTTTACAGACAGATTGAAAGCACAATTAAAGAAAGCAAAAAATCTACTGAATCGATATATTTCATTTCAGTCTTTCACATAGTCTAACAAATTTTCAAAAATTTAGAAACTAATATATTGCTCACTTTTTACATTGTCATTTACCATAACAGAAAAAAGTCTCCAAGAACTTTACTAAGTAATACAATATCATAGAAATTAGTTTTAACTGCAAAGTGAGTTATAATCAATAACATTTATTTTACTTTTCAGAATTCCAGTAAAGAAAAAGAGTTTCACTTAGGCAGGCATCGAATTCGAACTACTCCGATGTTGGTTGCAGTATTCCTGAACATTATTAACTTTCTTTTTTTTAGCAAATCTGCACACCTTCGATTTTTTTATCACTAATTTGGTTGTGTATAGATCTATCATAGTCAATCCTGAAATCCTTTCTTGAAGGTATGGGTGGGAGGTGTAAGACTTGAAATCTGCGGCTCCAAAAAGTACCCAGAAGTTGACATTCACACTCTAATATAGTTAGTCGAATTCACTTTGCATGGTTTAAAATGTTCTTTTTTTGGTTCGCATCTGGTCTGCTTGGTTGCAACGCATCGATTGCAATAATGAACTTGAAAAGACATCTTAGTCTTTACTTTCGACTGATATCATTACATATATTGCTAAAAAATTAATTTCTCACCAATGTATTCACTCTTTACTACCTCGAATAGAACGCACATAGTCTCATCTATCTTTTTGTAGTCGCGTTCATAAAGAAAATGGCTGCAGAAGCCGGAAAGATTTCGTTGTACAATTAACATATGTACAAAAGCATATCTAGTGCAAGTCGATCAATATTTCCATTTACGATTTCTTTCATTGTGTTGATAGCCTTTCAAATGTATTCTGTTTAACCATTCGGGAAATCTGTATTGTCGGGTCTATCGGTAACGGTCAATCTGAACCTTTCTTTGCTATCGAGGTGGATGATCGTATGAAATACATATGTACAAGCAGGCTGCATATTCATACTTTTTTTTTTATAAAACTTAATCTATTTTGTCTTCTGATCAATGCTGAATTACGTTAAAATCTTTGTGAAAATAATTTATGTTACGGTTTAAGCAACACAATGGAAAAAGCGCTTGAATTCTCAATTATAACAATCATCATCAGAGATGTAATTGTTAATTTATTCTTAATGACGTTATAGTCGAGATTCAGATACCAGTGATGGTCACATTGTTCACGTTATTCGTCGTAATTGTTTTAGAGTATGCATCATTTCTTGTAAAGGGTGTGGGTGTGAATATTCTTTAAGCCCGCAGCCTCAAGTATGAATCAAGCAAAATTTCACAATACACCAAATGATAATATTCCAGGTATAGGATTCGAAATCACACTCAAATCATCGAAAAAGGTGCCTATAAAGGGAGAAGTGATGAGTTTCGGCGAGCATCGAATTGAATTCACAGTGTGGAAATATAGCAAGATGCGTTACATGTGATAACAGATCTCTTCCTTATTAGTTACTCAAGAACGAGACATTCATCAGAATGTTAGACCGACAGACATCTTACATCGTGCGACGGCAAGGTGATAATGTTCGTAATTTTTATTTTGTGGCGATTTTTAACGCACAACGTATTTGCTCCCATGAGCCTGCGATTGTGCATACACAATACGGTAATGTATCAGGTTATCAGATTGAATTGGCTCGTGTCTTCTACGGTATTCCATTTGCTCAACCACCTATTGGAATATTGAGGTTGTTCTTGGAAATGTCTTAGCACTTATTTTCGCATACTGTACTTATCTCTCTACAGATGGCAGCCCACATTACCTGTCACTAAGTGGGACCACAAAGTGATAAATGCGACACAACCGCCTCCTGCTTGTTCACAACCAGCAAGTGTAATAAATGGCATTATTACTCCAAGTACTGTAAGTTTTTCATGTAATTGAGAATGATTCTATTCTCTAACAGATTGACAAGAGTATTTACGATAGATGTCCGAAGACTGTCTATATTTGAACATATTCACACCATTGATTGAAGATTCGTCACGTGAGAGTCTTCTACCAGTAATGATCGTTATTCATGGTGGCGACTTTCAGTTTGGCTGGGCGTCACAATCAAACTTCGAGTCTGAGCGTTTAGTCAATACAACCAATGTAATCATTGCACTAATTCAATATCGAATAGGTAGATGTCGAATTATCTTCAAGTAACTGTACAAGAATATGATTAAAAATAGGTGCATTGGGATTTTTGGCAACTGGGAATGGTCCCAATGGTATTAAATGTAATTATGGCATACTCGATCAACGTCTGGCTATTGCATGGATAGAAGCCAATATTAATACAGTCGGACGAGATCCTAATGAAATTTAAACAAGTACATACATTCAACTTATCAGTATACTGAATTAATCTGTCTTTCGATTACACTATTCTGGTAAAGTACCGGTGCTCAATCTATTGCCCTGCATTATGTTACGAGTGAGATGTAGTCATTCTTTTAGCGAGCAATTATTCAAAGTGCACCAATGACAGTTCCATTCAGGTACAACAATTAAATGAACATAATAAGAAATATTCTGTTTAATTAGAACATACATCGAATATGTCACATCTGCTGTTCTTCTGACTGAACAACTGCATTGTGCTACTGGCGATGTAGTATGTTTTTGAAATCGCTCTACCGACGAAATTATTGCTGCTTAAAATACTGTGAACGCTATGTTGACTTCATTGAATGTGCTGCTCTTTTTCGGACCATGGCTGCCCGTTATTGACAATGTGATTGTTCGCGGTCAACTTATTGATATCGTTTACAATACGTCATTTCCTCTGAAACCATTGATTATTTGTACAATCACTGAAGAATGTCGAGATTTTATTTATGGAAGTTGGCAAAAACCGATAACGCCTAGTGAATATATTGGAATAGCACTGGCTATTTTTCAGGAGAATGCATTCAAAATTCTCAAGAAATATCCACCGGTCGGTTCGGATGACCAACGATCACTTGTAGCTCGTGCTGCCACGCAATGGATGTTTGGTTATCCACTCGATACAGAAAATTTGAGAAATTGGATACAATGCAGTGATCATGCGTGTCACACTGATGAAATACCCTTTCTTTTTGAATCATCTTGGACAAATTTTACTGATGCCGGCCGATGTGTATCTCAAAATATGGCTACCTGTTGGACAAATTTTGCCAAGAGTCAAGACCCTAGTGAGCAGTTGAGAGTTCCATTATCATGGCCAAGAGTGAAAACAGAAAATGAGACATACATCTACATTCAAGATCCACTTCTAATAAATTGACAAGAAAAAAATCGGTTTAATGACTCTAATCTTTTAATTCGTCTTTAGATGATTCTCTAGCCGACGATAAATAACCAAATTTTACCAAAACTTCCCTCTCTTGAGAATCATCGCTTGAGCACACAATAACTTAATTAGCATGTGAAGTCAACGACATTTTTAAGTAATTCTAAGTTGCTGATATCAGAGTAAGCCGTCGTAAGTAGCTTGGAAATTAAATAATTTTCAATGGAGAAAATTTTCAGAATGGAAACTAAGTAGATGATAAGCAACGTAGTATGTAATTACAACATTGTACACATTTTTCTTTCGTTTCTTTCGTAAGTGTGTCGAAATAAGGTAGGCGTATTGTACAAAAATATAAGTAACATATTGCTTTTTACAACACTATTATTTTATTGTCCGTCGCATTTCCAATGGCAGAAGTATTGCGATTATCATTGAGTAATATGCTAGAATCAAATGGCTCGACCAAAGTGAAGGAAACCCTCCCCGGTAGCGATATCGAAGAGCCCCCTTTGAAAAAACGTCGAGCGATTACCGACAATCAATCTGGTTCGCTTGAAGATCGTATTACACCGATTTTATCATGTTGTATTTGTTCGAATCTTGTCACATTATCTTCAACCCGATGTCCAAATGGTCATTTAATGTGCCCGTCCTGTTTTCTTCGTGATTTCAAGAATCGTATTCTCTACATGGAGAGGATAAGGTCTAGAAACCGTAATTCACCTGGGTCTGTCTATAGCTTTGTCACAAATGACCATTTTTATAGAACACATTGTTAGGATCGCTGTTTATTATTATTGTTCTTCGTTTTTCTTTTTTGTTGAAGAAGCTTAGATTCTCATTCATCTTGTAAAATAAATACTAGCCGGACATCTCGAACCTAACAGTGGTACACTAACCAGTGTTGCTCTCAAACAAAAATTCCGCGTCGCAGGCAAATACAATCTTATCTAGCAACAGTTTGAATGATTTTTAAACAAACCAGAACTACAAGAAATTTAAAATAAACATCGATTAATTCTTTATTTTTACCAACTAAGAAAGATAAACAAAAATTATCAATAATAGAATATGTAAAAACCGGCAATATCCAATGATTACAAAAAACAACAGATTTAAAAACGAATAATACAACTTTAATCAAATCATTAGATGGTCAGCGGCTATCCCAGCATAAAGAAAAACAAGATTCGTCTATTCTAAAACAATTAAGTTCAATCCAAAAATTTTATGGGCAAGGTGTTGTCCAAGATTGGTTAGAAGAAATTCTGGAAAAAAATAATGAATTACAACTTACCACGTCTGAACGAAATGACTTGATTCCTAAACTATTTAGTGGAAAAGGATTTATCTGGTATGTGAACGAACAAGAAAAAATGTCAACATTTGTGTTGTTTACAAAAAATTTACTTCAATATTATAAACGAAAAGAATTCAATCGAAATCAAATAACATCAGTCGTACAACAAACAGTTATTGATTCAAAACATAGTATTATTGATTCGCTTCGAAATCAAATGATGATCATAAATCTTGAACAATTACCAAAATTCAATCGCAAATCGAAACCGAAATCCATCGAAATGGTTTCAAGATATTGAAGAAAAATGATATCTTATAGCTGCAATGGGGGTGTGACGGGGGCTCTCAAAAACCTTGCGTTTAAACTGAAACTCACTATTTTCTTCGAAAATATATTTGAGCTTCACAAAATCAAGCTGCTTACATCGGAGTAAGCTATCATAAGTAGCTTGGGAATGAAATCGTTGACAATGAAGAAAATTTTCACAAAATGTATGGAACTCGATGATGAATAATGAAATAGGTAATTACGACATTGCGCACATTTTTCTTTCATTTCTTTCGTAAGTGTGTCGAAATAACGTAGGTGTATTGTATAAAAATATAAGTAAAATATTGCTTATTACAACACTATTAGTTTATTATTACGTCGAAACTCTAATGGCAGAAGCATTGCAATCATCATTGAATAATATGCTAGAATCAAATGACTCGGCCAAAGCAGAAAAAACCGTGCCAGATGGTGTTGAAACAGCCATCTCCTTGGTGAACTTCACAGGTAATGATATTGAAGAGCCTCCTTTCAAAAAACTTCGCACGAACGCCCACGATCGATCTCTTTCGTTTGAAGATCGTATTAGGCCGATTTTATCATGTTGCATTTGCTTGGATCTTTCCACATTATCTTTATTCCAATGTCCAAATGGTCATTTAATGTGTTCTGCCTGCTTCCATCATCTTGTAGCTGACTGTATGCTTAAAGATCAAGAAAGTGCGTGTCCAAACTGTCGATGTAAAATTTCAAAAAGGAATTGCACCCGGAATCTAGCGGTAGAAAAAATCATTTCGGAGTTGCCGACTACATGTGCTTATTGTACGCATACATGTCCACGTTGTGAAATCAAATATCATGAATCAGAAACATGTCCAGAACGACCGACCGTGTGCGAATATTCGTTACTCGGCTGCGATTGGATAGGCCCTTCTCATTGTCTGACATCTCATATGACTAGTTGTGAATATCCGAAGAAGACCGGTCAACAATTGTTGGATACAATTCGAATACGAAAACAAAAGTATGATGCAGAAAAGACATATCTGGAAACTGCTCTAGACTTACTTTTGATCCATGAAATTGATGCCAACGATATCAGTCTGACACCAATGCATACAGATGATTTCTCTGCAAAACTCTACTTTGAAACGTCACATTTTAAGGCTCTAGAATGCGAATGGAAAGTACGAGTATGCATCAACGATCACACGTCACATCCACACACCACAAGCACTAGGTGGTTAAGTTATCAACTTGTGCTCGAATCAAACATAAGTGAAACGATCAAATTGAAATTTTTTATCAGCAAAGGTCCTTATAGTAATCTACCGGCTTTAAAATTTCAACCGATTATCTCTCATTTTGAATTCAATGAAAACAACACCGAAACTGAATACATCAAGTTACCAATTAGTTCGCTAGAATGCAATCAAATTCTATCATCGTCGTCTATGAAATTTCGATTCTGGATAATTCGTGAGATATCAACGGCCTCTTTGTAAATAGAACTTTCAGTATCTCCACTATGCTGACATAGAATAAATCAAAATTTTTTTTTCTCTGACTGTCCATAATTGTTCCCAGTTGTTATTCATCAATAAAATGTTGGTTAATACGGTTGAACAGTATCTTAGATATGAAAACGTTATTTGTACAATAGAATAGTAAATTCATGTCGGATGCGATTAAAATATTGCATGAAGGTGTAGATGTGTAGGTGACTGTGTGTCAGCCGCGACATCGCATATATCATCCTCATCCACATTCCGGTACCGCATTTTCCGGGTTTTTAAAGTAAAATGTTTCTTTTATTAAAGATCAAAGCTTCCCATTGACGAATTGTCTTCCTTATTATTGCACCATTCGATTGTTTTTATCCGGAGACACGTGAACTGTTTGTTTCATAGGCACGGTTGCTGCTGATGTGGTTACATCTATTGAAGATGAGGAGAATGCTTGAATTAAGTGATTGTATACATCATTATTTGTGAGGATGAAAATGATATCATTTTCTTATTCATTTGTTTTAAATGTTTATCAAATTTTGGTAATAATAATGCTTTCAAATTTTCCTCTAAAAATTGTTTCTGTGTCCATCGATTCATAGTTACACATTGCTTGATGAAAATGAGTGTAGGACCAAGACATGAGGTAAATATTGTAACTCTTTCATATCGGCAATTATGAAATTGTAAGGCGCTGAGAAAGAATTTCACTCCTCATTGAAGCCATGCTTTATGCTTCCATGAAAGCCTTCATAAGCAGTCACGAATGTAAATTATAGGCTCGATACATACAATAAATTGGGCCTCTAGATTTAAAGCGCATCGACTTCAGTATCATGTTTCATAATATTTTCCTTTGTTCTGATCTTTATTATCTGCTCTGTCAACTTTTAAGTTTACCTTTCACATAGTTACATGATATGTGCATTGTGCCAATAAGCTCTGAAAAGAACACCATGCATATATATCATTGTTATCTGTTGCCTGTACTTTACTATTTGTTTGAAAATGCATCTTGTGGTGTTTGTCGCTATCTTGATAGTGGAGTGTCGGTGTAATATCAGAGTGTCAGTAGATCGATCACAAGGAAAATACAATGTGAGTATTGCCGATCGTGTTTGGCTTCGCTCAAGTCGAACAGCTTTGTATGCCGATGAACGATGGTATTCTTCTGATGACGATTCTCTTCCTCTCATTGACACGCGTCTTGACCAAGGCAATGATGAACATTTGGGTAAATGGAATGAGACTCAATTGATCTATAGTCTTGTTCACAGTGGAATACAAGTCAATGTAACTGGTCGAGTACGTCAATGGAGTTCAATATCAGCGGTTACGTTTCATTTGGATATTGGCAACGAACCTCTGACAAGCAGTAATTCACTCAGCATGGATGAAGTTCGAACAGTATTTCCTTCTTTCAACATTGAACAAATGCATCCGGATGACCATCGAGGCTATTTCACATATGCAGGTGAGATTTATTATTATTTCTTGAAGTACATCACTGCATGAATATCTATTCAGATATGATGATGGGTGAAGTAAACAAGCATGCTGGTATCTGGGAATCCTCTAGTAAGATTATTAAATCTGGCATGCAGGCAGGTCCTATTGTTCTTTTCGATTTGACTGAAAGAGCTCAAGGCGACGTTGTCATTCTCTCGCCCTTTTCTCACTTTATGGCTACTTCACTGAGTCAACGAGAAAATATGTTAGAATATGGTGTGATGGGTTCGATGTCATCGGTTCCTGCCAATTATAATCATTCAATGATTGTCTTCTATTCTCCTCTTGGTGTCAATGAAGCCATGCGTGAATGGGGTCAATCAATGAGACGAGCATTCAATCGAACCATGGAACATCGTCTCAATGATATAACCATAAATTACTTGGGTTATTACACGGACAACGGTGCATACTATTATTATCATACAGAAACCGGCATGAACTACGAAGAAACCGTTGTATCGATTTCTCGAAATATCTCACTCCCAATCCAGTATATTCAAATCGATTCGTGGTGGTACTATAAAGGCAATCGGGACGGTGTAAAGGAATGGTCACCTCGTCCAGATATCTTTCCTGATGGCCTTCCTGTGGTTCATCGTCGAATGAACAATATACATATTGCAGCACATAATCGCTACTGGGCATCTGATACTGTCTATTCAAAAACATACGCCTTTGTAATTGACCCACTTCAAGGAAAGGCTCTTCCAATCAGCAACGATTCGTTCTGGATCGATCTGCTAGGCGAAGCATCTCGGAATTGGGGTTTGATTTTGTATGAACAAGATTGGTTAAATTTACAAACTATTGAATTTACACCAACACGTACCGATATTGATCTTGGACAACGATGGTTGACGGCAATGGGCAAAGCAGCTGAACAAGTAGGAATAAATATTCAATACTGCATGAGTTTACCTCGACATGCTCTACAAGCTCTTGAAATTCCACGTGTTACACAAGCACGTGTATCCGTTGATTATGCTATTCACCTTGACGAACGAGTTCCCCAGTGGAATATTGGAGTTTCAAGTATGTTAGCCGATACAATAGGTATGGCTCCATACAATGATGTATTTTGGTCTAGTTCATATGAACCAGGTGCTCCATACAAAAAAGCAGCAATGGAACCAGTCCCCGATCGAGAAATACTTATTGCTACGCTCTCAACAGGACCTGTCACTCCAGGCGATGCCATCAGCTATATCAATGTTAACAGAATAATGCGATGTTGTAGCGAAATAGGAACAATTTTGAAACATGATCTACCGATAACTATGATCAATTCCATGATTGCCGACTAGGCACAAAACAAAGGAATTATACAAGGAGAGCTCTACTCGACCCGATCATCTCTGTGAGTATCTATCTCTCTATCGTATTTCTTTTTTTACTCCGAAAATCTCTTTCATGTAGAAATAATGAAACTTTTCACATCATATTTGCATCAGCCATGCGACGTGACTATTCAATAACACCTTCGATGATCGGAGCACAAGCAGGACTCATTTGGGTCTACAATGAACCATCAGTAGTAACTACATTCGATGAAGCGCATCCTCTAGCTATATCAGGAAAGAAATGCAATGATTCTTCGTTCTGTCTCTGGTATTTGTCTCCTGTGTGGACCTTTGCTGATCCAAACAATACACAGTATGCTCTTCTGGGTGAATTTAATAAATGGACAGCTGTCAGTCGACAACGGTTTACATCGTTGACAACAAATCCGGAAAGAACAACAACAATAGTCGGTCTAGTCGGTGGAACAATTGAAATTGTCGAATTTCTTGTGTATCATTCGAAATTGGTCATCGTACGTTTGAATTGCTCTCTCTCGTGTGCTGAAGGAATATTACAAATTACTCTATCAACTGTCACGTGTTTTTCATGAATTTCATGAAAATTGTCGTATCTTTTTGTCTTCATAAGTCAAATAAAGAGATATATATACTCACAATTCCGAAATTGGTCGCTAAAAGAAATTATAGAATATGCGGAGGAGAAACGTATCAGCGTAGATCCAAGATGAATGAAGTGCTATTTGTTTCTTCATGTGATACACTTATCGACAATGAAGTTTCTCTTTTTTGATACTCTGTGACTGTTTACGGAAAAAGCAAATTGTGAAAATGTTTGTATCAGATTGGCGAGATTGATTTGTTTGGAATTCATATTTTTATTACAGAAGAATGAAGATGCCCATGTGGACATGTACTTGAAAGTTGCTCGTGCGCGATAATGTAGGTGAGGCACTGTGCGACAGTGCAGTATGTATCGATAGACATAATCTGGGCTGAGAGTTAGGGGATTACTTTTTCTGAAGTGGAATAGCAATGAATGAAGCTCTGCTGGTATATCATCAAAGGATAAATTTATTTGTTTAAACATAAAAATAAAAATTTAGTTATTCGTATTTTCATTGCCAATAAGCGCCTTAGGTGTTACACGCTGCATGTATATGTCAAGTACATGTTTCCTTCATAGCGCTCTGCTTCAATGCTGTTCGGACATCCGCGAAACAGATTGTTCCTTGCTTCTGAAAAGGTGCCACTCCAGTTGTTCTGGTACGATGTATCCACTGTACATTTGCAGTATCCAGATTGTGCGTTGACGCAGCCGCATGCTAACCCAGTAACTGAAGGAAGTTTGTCCACACAGCGTTTGGCATATTCCATCGCATTGGAGCGGTGCGTGTTACAGTAAGTCACATAGATACCTCGACCACCGTTACAGGAGCCAGCAGCACGCTCTATTCTGTAATAGAAAAAGAAAGAAATGGCTAACCATCACATCACTGAATACTCAACCTGTAGGACGGAGCAGCGAGGCAGGCCCAATTAAAAAGCATCACCATCATCAACACTATCAGTGAATGGTGAAACATTTTCGCTATGAATACGCTTGATTTCAAATTGAAAACGAATTCATTTACGATTTCATTTATATACATATACCGTACTGCGTAATTAGTATATATGAGTCCTTATTACGCATTATAGACTAAAAATAAATAAAGTATATCATCATTTCAAAATTTATAGTGTGAAATTCAATTATGGCGTAGCAGCAGGCATGCAAAAGAAGAACATTAACTCACTTCATAGAACATGCACGCCCATGCCGTCCTTGGACAGGTAAATGGTGATACAATCTCAATTACTGACATTAAATTTATCATGGCAATATGAGAGCAATATACATCTATTTTTCAGCGCTTCCAAGATACAACCATTAATAGATTGATGAGTGCATTTTCAGTAATCAAACACTTGCCAAATGAATATGAGAAAGGATAGTTCAAATAAGAATCGATACATTCAGTAAACTATCCAAAACGAAAATAAATCACGTAAAAATATGTTTTCGAAATTTGAGAGTATTAATGAAATATTTTATGTAGAAAATTTTGAATTTCTTCGAAGAAAATCTCAATTGCACCACAAGAAATTTACAATTGTGTTTTTACAATTATGTAAGACGATTTTAGAATTATATACATACAGTAAAATATCGTCAAATTTTAATAAAATCTGTCGTTTGATGATTTAATTATTAGTAGTGTATAATGAGAATCAACATAAAATTGGTCGTGTAAGTTTTATGGCCAGCAACCAACTTACGATCAGTCAAATTTCATTAAACAACCATTTAGAAAAATGAGTAGCGACACTTTTTCAACCAATCAAAGCTGTCAAGATCGAATAAATGAATTTGAGTATATAAATCAAATGGTCAGTCTCAAATTAAGAAACCTGGAAAACAATGAAATCAAAAATTTGCTTTTGCAATATGAGTTTTCACTATAGAAAAACTAATTCAATGAAATTTTTGATTATTAAAGAATTTTCGACAATAAAATCATATTGAGTCATATCGAATTCCACTTTACCGTCTTTATACAATGTTACATAATCTAAAGCAAGTCATCACTGATCTCACATAACAAGACTACTAATGAATTTCTTATGAAAAAAAAGTACCTTTCAAAACAACCTACGTCTCTTTATCTCAATACGCCCAGTGAAAATAATTTGCAGAGTCCTTTTAATACATAAGTAATTATGAAAAATAGTTATTCCAACACCAACACCCGCAAGTTGATATTTGATGATTTTTTACGATATTTCCACTTCGTAAATAGAGCTCCTACAGATTCATGTAGTATATAGGAAACGACTGTTTCTTGTGAAGCAGGTACAACTGAATAATTTAAATCGATTACGATACGACATTTTATTTTGTTTTATAGGCTTGCTCATGAGGTGATATCACAAAAGCAGACGTTCAAGTTTTGCTATGCATCATGTTTCATTCGAGTTTGAGTAAACATCTTAAGAAGAAAATATTGTGAGTTTCATAGCTAAACACACGAAAAGACCAATATTTTTAGCATACATCCCTCATCAAAACTAAAATCGACTTTTCTAGCCATGTCAAATGATCATTCAGAAATAATTCGTTGAAGTTTAACATTGCATTATAATATAACTTTTAATTCAAAGACGATTATTGAAAGAGAACTACAGCATGATATTATTCATTATTTTGAAAGGATAAATTCACATGTTTCATCGACAGCGAAAACGATTTTTTTCTATTTTTCTATTTTAGCTCGATATATGATGAGAGATTTATGAAATACTTTTTTTTATAAAACTTTGAAAGGAATATAAATACCATGAATGTAAGCATTGGTGGAATAAATGAAATAAAATAACCCATGAATGAAAAATAAATAAGTAGTATGATTTTTATTTGCAGTTAGGATTTAAACAATAGAATATGATCAATTCTTATACATATAAATGAAAAGCACCGTCATTGTACCGTTGAAAGGAAAATGTCAATGAAAATAAATTTTTTTATAAGAAAAAAACAGTGTTACATTTTTATAGAGAACTGTCGGTTTTGATTGAGTCACGGAATCAACGAAATTCAAAGTCACTTTGCATGCCGCATGTAAATCTAACAACTTTTTCTTGATATTCAACTAATGTTATTCCAGCAAAATTTCTACAATAGAACTTTGCTTGTTTGTAATGTTAGCGTACACAAAAGCAAAGACAGACGGAGAGTTGCCGTCTGTAAGTAGAATTCAACTTATCGAAATTTGTTTTTCGGCGATCCAATAATTGAATCCAGGAACCGCTGCGCTGAGAAACAACTAAACTGAAGATTCTCTGTTTACATAGAGTATCACAGAATCGAAGCTTCGATTCACAACACAATGTAAGAAACAATTTTTGAATGATTCCTTGTTCATATTTTTACTTTATCTGATCGCATCGATATATTAAATAACAGTTTGCAAGGTAACGTGTGATTCACTTTTTACTTCAATATAGAATTGTGCTTCGAGAAATGACGCAGCTAAAATAAAGATTGGTATTTTTTGTGTTAAGGTGGATTTTGAGGACTTCTTTTTCTTATGTATATTCATCAAAATAATCAAGTAAAATTTCAATTCCAAGATGTAAATTCGATTTCAATGATTAAGAGAAAGCCTATTCGAGAAAAACAATCGTCAAGAAAGAAAATTTCATTTGTTTTTTACAGCAGGTATAGTGTCTGCAGTGTGCTCCTGATTAATATGGATACTTGAGGCTTGTTTGTACAAACCTTCATTGAATTCGACACTCTAACACCGTTAATTTTCTTTTTTAGACATATATATATAGATATAATTGTACAAAGTTCAACTGGCATATTTTGAAGTTGATTGGCAATGAAGTCGAAATTTAATCAAAGCGTGTTTCCACAAAATATGCGATCACCAGAACGCTTTCAGAAAGATTCAAATAACCAGCATCAACCTCAGAAACCAAATGATAAAAACTTGTTCAAATCAAACGTATCCGATTCACAAACGTAAAAGAGTGTTCTACTGAAATGCCTACGAACATCGATCTTCATTTTTGTTATTCTAATAGGCCATTCTATCTTACAAAGCGCTTCACTTTTGCGACATATTTAACTGTGACTTTGTTAATTTGCGGCATTTGTCTTGCTGTTGTTGTAACTTTGTGGCTAACATCAGGTATAGATTCGCACGAATATAGACTTTTTTACTTGTGTCTTTGATTTTAGGTTCTACTACAGCGTACTCATCAACAGTTATTGCAATTTTATTGATGTTTTCAAGCACGATAATATTTTGAACTATAGTACTACTTTAATAATTACAACGAGTTCGTATAGCTCTTAGGGATTCATTTATTTTTCGGTAAGAATTTCTTTTAAATTTTAATTAAAAAAATAAAACAGTGTAGATTTGAGCGTATAATATCATATTTATTCTCGTTGAATTTCTTTGTTTTTGACACTGGTATGTCCCGATTCGAAAGAAACTTTCATATTTAACTTACTTTTAGCTATCACATCTACCTCAACAGTAGCGGCTCGTACTATTATATACTCTCAGAATTTTACCAATGGACACACAGCAACGGCTCAGTGTACAGTGTGGACTAGTTTCGTTGCTCAGCTGATACAGCAGCCCTACATATTATTAACAATGAGCGGTACATTTGATCCAATTGGTGTGTCAGTCACTGATCCTACTGTTATAGCTAATATTTCATTAGCTTTAAGAACGTCAACAGCCTATGGGCCAGTGACGTCAAATTCTAATTCGTGGGCTGTTGGATTATGCGGATCGTCATATGAATTGAGTGCAAGTGGAACTAAGTGTATGTGTAGAACTCCTGGGTATTCCATTCGACCATGTCTTACTAATCAAAACTATGGTGGAGTAAATACCACTACCTGCTCTGGACCAAATCAAACAATGACTGTCATATTTCAATACTAATATGTGACTTTCAAAAATTTTAATTCAGAATGTCGAAAATACTGAAACTAATTGATGCATACATAAGGGTGCGGGTAGATATCTAGACTGAAATTCCTATTCCAGATCCATCATTTGTTGTTTTACAATAAGAAATATCACTTTTAAACTTTAGGGATAAAATAATTTATGCTTGCTTTATTGTCAGCGAAAGTTATTTTCTAATAATAAATTCCTATTTGCTTATTGAATTTTCATATACATATCATTTATTTACGCGGCACAATATTTGTAAGATTAAGAAAGTTTATTCATCACATTTAAATTGAACTGCATCAATAGTAGCTTCGATAAAAAAACCTGCCGCTTCTGGAATCGATTGGACAACTGTTTCGAGAACATGTTGCGACGCTTGTCTTGCTTCGAAGTTGCATGTTACTTTTTCCCATATTTTGACTAATGGTGACCACCAATCTTCGTCAACCAAGAACAAAAGCTCCAAGGCTTGATTGACAGTATCAGGCAAATCACTACAATGAGGTGGTTTATCTTCATCGCGCAGCATTCGAAATGGTAAATAAGCAGCTTGATATTTATTTGTTAACGGTAAATTTGTGTCCAATCGAGACAAGGCGATGAATTGAACTAGATGAGCCCAACTGAGACCAAAACGTTGTTCCATGTGCGATGGCAATAGAGATACTTTCGATTCAATAAGTGGTAATCCACCGTCGAGTGACGCCATATGTGCCGACCACAAGGGTGCTAAGTAGCACTTATCGACTATTCTAGCGTCATATTTCTCGTGTAAACAAAACGAAGAATTTAATAGATTCGTAAAAAAACTTCTCCATTTATTCATAGCATTGGGCACTTGACGGGAACATTCATCGGAATTCGTGCAAAAATTTTCTCGTTGCAAAATTCGAAATGAACCTTGATTTATGACACCTGCATCAGCTGCAGCAATAAATGGTATAACAGATAAATAGTAGTTAGCCGAACCCCACCAACTATCAGTTGAGACATTTCGAGTACCATTAGAAAACAGTCGATTTGAAGTGAATTGCCATCCGAATTGACTTGGTAGGCCGAACAGAATATTTGTTTCGTTCGATGAACAGAACGGCATGAGAGGTGTTGTTGTGTCAATGAGAATTTTGTACATGCCAAGTCTGTGCAAATACAACCACGGGTCAATAATCTGAGTTTCATAATCAGCAGCTATGGGATAATCAGCAATTGAAGAAGGCGCTTCATTCCATAGCGGCGGAAGGCGTTCTTCGTTGCTCGAATTTGCGATGACTATTCGAGTCAAAATAAACAGTTTTGTTAATAATACCAACATAAGCTTCATGAATGCACTTTTTCTATCAAGCTATTACGCATACATAGTTTTTTGTAAATATCAATCTTGTTTTTATGCTTTTTATGAAGAAAGCATGAGAAAAAATACACCTGTAAAGTGCCCTTTGGCAAGTGTATGCTAAATAAACACTCGCTTTAAGATAAACTATATATTATTGCTCGAATCCGCCAGTTTTAATATGACTTCAAAGTACATCAACTAAAATAAAGTAATTAGCTTGCAGCTAAAAGATCAATACCTAATGAAAAATACTGATCATTGACACCGTCCATATTAAAATTTATTCAATAAAAAACAAATTGTTAAATTACTAGAGAACAATATTATTTTCTGGCGAAAATTTTGCGTATTATGAATAATTTTATGTGTGCTACTTTTCTACGATATCTGAAAAATCATTTTAGATTAAAAATATTCTATATCATGAAATACTCGTACAGAATCGTCATCGTTTTGTTTTTCGATGGTCGTGGTGTGATGACGTGTACTTTGATAAAGCGTCTATATATATTCTTCACTTATTATATTCGGTTGGATTAAATCGCCGGGATAGCTCAGTTGGGAGAGCGTCAGACTGAAGATCTGAAGGTCCCTGGTTCGATCCCGGGTCACGGCACCTCCTTTTTTATAATTCTAAATTACAAAATAGTACGTCCTATTTCATTATAAGCATCTCTTTTTTAAAATTCATTCATATATGTGTACAATAATTTTAATAAGTTCTTATGTTTAGCTCCACTCAATAGAAATCATTATGAATTTAGTTTTAAATTACTACTTGTCAAAGTATAATTATTCTATACAACATTTGACTATTTTAAAAGAAGATATGACTTTTACTATGAGGCCATGTGGATGCAATTGACCTTAGAAGATAAAGTACCATGAATATACGTTTCGTCTTTTCTTTTGAAGGACATATGCATATTCATTCTTCATCATTGTTAACGATGAACAGACGACAAAACTTTTCGATTTACTGTGATCAATATGATTTGGCCGCGTGTATTGAATCCATTGCTTAGGTGGTATCAAAAATCTAATAATCGTTCAATTGATTTATTTTCATTTTGCATATCGAATAGAAATTATTGTACTCAATAAAATTTCAAGAATCAAAAATTATTAACACCCACTCAAATGCATAGTTGGATTTTATATTCAGTTTAGATTGATCAATTCATTGAATAAATCTGATCAAATATCACTAGTACATCGTTTATATTCTAAAGGATACAGATAATATGAGCGTAATCTGTGTTTATCTATAATTATTTTTTGCCATATAAAAAAAAAAGAATGTCTACGGGCTTATTCTATTAAACAAATCATCGAATAACATTCAATCGTTTCATAAAGGTTAAAATAATGACTTTGATATCTTTGTAGTAGGTGTAGAATTGAAATGAATGATCTCTTACATTTTTCTCTTGTTTGTCAATGATTATAATCAAAAATGTGCATCAATACTGAAGTGTGTGAATTTCCGGTTGAAAAATTCAATACGAATATTGAAGTAGAATGATTTTTATTGAGTAAAAGATTTACAGTTTATTCATGAATGGCTTAATGATATCTCTATCTAGGCATTTTTCTAATCAGACTAGGTGCGAAACGAATTTTGAATGACATGTTACTATTGCATCATCAAAGGTGACAATGCGTTTCTTCCTTCCTTTCGCCTCTTAATACAGTGTACAATTCAAATGTCAAGTCAGAGAATGAGAAAGTATGTATGCTTTGATGCGCATACATACACAGAAATTAATTGTCGATGTGACAAGACCACTCACTATGGACCATCGGACAGACGCGCTATATATACTAAAACACCAATTGTCCAGATGAGTTGTTAATGAGAAATCATTTTTAATTCAACATGATGGGACTCGTCTTTGTCTTTTTGTTTCTTATAGATGTGATCTATTGTGTAATGCTTCTTGCCGAATTAGACCTGATAGATGATGTGTCGACGTGTGCATGTATCTGTATATAATATGTTTATCCTTCTATGATGATGGTGCTCGGTCATTCGAAAGAGAAGACACCATCGCATATTATTAGTGCAGGTTCTGCTGTTATTCAACTTTACCTCTTCTCATTTTCTCCCATGGGACATTAGCACATGAAAGAACAGAACTGAATAGACCTTCATATCTAAGATAGAAGTAAAATAAAGTTAGTAGGTATCTATTTAAATTACTCTGAAATCTGCGTCATTACGTCATCGCGCTATATTGTTGATTTTTGATATTGATAAAAAAAACGTCGACACAGTGAAGTACTTATAAGTTACTTTTTTTTCATAGAGAAAGAAAGAAGAAAAAAGAAACAGTTTTGTAAAATATACAGATTATTAAACACTTTTTCTTCATAGTTCTCAATTCGAATTAAGTATAACGCCAGTTGTAAGCAATTAATTTCTTTCGCGTTCTTATGCACACTTTCTCCAGTCTACTATATATTCAATGTGACTAAAGCTTATCAAAGACATATGATTCCGATCAATATTAATAAGACGAACTAGAACGATAACACAAATATAAATAAATAGGAGCGAGTCTTTTTTTCTTTTCAGCCGAATAAGAATGTGTCGCCGTCATACGTGTTCTATTTTTTTTCTGAATACTCACAAGATTAACTTGACGTCTGAATAGATTATTAATCCATCGATCTTTGTTCTCCGTACAAGTATATATAATATATACTTGAACATTTTATAAGCAGAACAGATTGAATACTTGTTTGATGTAGGACTCCCACTTGAACATCGATTAAAAAAAATTAACATCCAACTGTTAGTCTACTTTATATGTCGAACTGTCAAGAATTATCTCATATTTAACAAAGGAAAAGGCGAGCAGACGCTCATAGAAGCAAATGACAATAGCATCCATAAATTCGCAGACAACTCATTCATTTCCATCTGTTCACTTCCGTGTTACCTAGTAAATAACAATAGTAATTAATCATATTTACGACTAACCAATTCTACATGGAAGTCACATATTCTTCCTTAGAAAAAGAAAAAACTGATGTGTCATAGAAACATAACCATTGACTAGGTGTAATTTTACTCAACGAAATACCAATTGTTTTTTCTTCTTCTCCTTTGCCTTCTATTAGTATTATACTTTCTCTACGATACCATCGAGTATATGCATATGAATGAGAGAAAAAAAGAATGAATGAACACTTGAGCGTAGAAGATGATAAGCGACATCCCACTGTCTATATGATGATGAATTTAGAATATTTGTATGACTGTACACTCGCGCACTTGTCTATACTCTTCAATTAAAATAAACAAAACATTCATCGTTTTATCTTTTTTTCTCTTTGATATAGGTAATGGAATATTCTTGATGCACATTACATTGTATATAATTCAAATGAAGTATGAACCTTGATGATCAACGTACAAATCGAGTTCTTGCGATCTCGTCATTAGTATTCATTTTAAATATAATATTTAGTATTCCATGCAATGGTTGGCATCAAACATTAACGTTTACTCAAAAATTAACGTATGAAACGAGTAAGATTCGATAGAAAAAAATTTTCTCATTAAATTAATTAAATGTTAACAAAATTTCAGCTAGTCAAATGTCTGTTGTAACATCTGAAATGAAATTTTTCATGTGGTATAATTCCTATGCGATTTATGGTGCACGCGAAACACTTCTTTTACTCAAACCTGTGTTAAACACTTCTTCGGTAAGTTTATTTAAAATGTTTTTAGTGTTGTTTCTTTCTGATGATCATTTAGATCGAAGTCTTTTTATACAATTGGTCCATTGATGCCGGAACAATGGAAGAATGTCGACAAGAATGGAATTCAAAAGTATTCTAAAAATTTCGATAGATTTAAGAATTTTCTTTTTTTTTGTAAAGGAAAAATGTTATAATGATGTTGTACATGTTCGAATTTTGCCTAATCGTAAAACAATGGATGTTTATTGCACTTATGCTCATCGACCCATGGTTCGTTCGTTTGATCTTCGTTCAATGTCATTCATAGACGAACACATCCTCATCCGTGATCCGCATCCTCCGATGGATTCCGAACGTTCCTATGTTATGTTAACTTTCAACAAAAGTCTAGTAACGGCTGGTTATCAAGGTGATTATATTCCAACTATACGAGCTACGCAAGGAAAAACACTACTTTATGCATTAAGACAAAGTAAGAAACCGAGATTATCTGTCTTATGACATAAATTGTTCGGAATTTTAGATTCACATTTTGTCAGCGGCTTTAAATATGATGGAAAAGCTGTTTTTGGCGTGATTGAAACTTCGGAACGAATCGATACGGTAAGAAAAGACTAAAATATATCGAAATATTGTAGATTATGTTTTTCCCTGAAGAATCGTGTATCTCGATTGGTGATGGCCTGTGCCAATCGAACTGAAATAATTCGTAAAGCTACACTTAATTGTTCAACAAATATATTCGAACCATCACGATCATTTGTCTTTCATATTTTAAGTAATAGAAATTCAAATCTTGACATTTCGATGATTGTTTTTTTTTCTAGCTGCTCTAATCGATCCAATTCATACAGCGAATGGTTCAGTCCTACTCTTTGCTACTTTTACAACAAATAAGTAAAGAATGTTGTAGAAAAATTTTCTTTCTTTGTATTCAATCAATTTCTAGTTCATCGATAACTGCTTCAGCTGTTTGTTTATTCATGCTTGATAAACAATTTTATGATGTATTTACTGGACCATCGATAAAAAATAGTCGAACAAGTGAAATGAATGAATTAATTTTTAATTGTTCACAATCGATACCATCCACGATCGATCGAGATATGGTGGAATCGGATAGACAATTTTTACCCTATTTATCGAGTCCATTACTTATAGAATCAATGTCAAATCATATATTTACAGCCATCAGTGTTATTCAATACAAATCTGATTTGTATTGTTTAATTATTGGAACTAGTAAAATGAAATTTATTCCTATGCTTTATTTAATCTATTTCATTTTAGGTAGTGGTCGTTTATTTACGGCATTTACTGATGTAACATTTAAAACGAATATATTCGAAGAATTAACATTATCAATGAACGTGAGTTATTCAATAAAATCGATTACATATAAAAAAGTGTACGTATTGAATATAGTCAGCGATTTTAAAAACAAGCAAGTTGTGTTTCTTTTTAAATTTTAGTAGTAATAATTCTTACGCAATTTTTGTAACAAATCAAGTCGGATATTCGATTATTAAGCTCACATCATGTCAAGATAATGATTCAAAACTTTGCTTCGAATGCTGGATGCACGATTGTTCCATAAGAAAAACTAGTTCAACCGAGTAGGATTTTATTGATTTCGAATAAAATTTTTTTTAATAATTTTTTTTCTGAAAAAAATTCATAGCCGTCAATGTTCTCATGAAGATCATTTTAGGCCTAATGCAAACAATCATACAGATATGTTGACTTTAGAAAGCGATTCATCATTAAACAATCAAACTTTAGGTAATTGATACACGTACGAATGAATAGAAAAAATAAGAAATTTGAATTATTCATGTAGACGAAAAATCAAAAATGAAATTATTATTTTATATTGTGATGCCATTGTCATCTGTTGTTTTTATTCTATCGATATTAATTATTGTTCTATTGACAAAATCAAATCATAAACTAAAAAAAGGACAATTCTATCCGACTGCTTGTCGTAAAACACAAGATTCATCATCGGCACATGTTTTTCCACACACATACACCAATAATGTTATGTATCGAACAAATCGACAATTCGTTTCCGAAAGAAAAAATCATCAACATGTATTTCCTATTAAATCGAATTTATGTATACGTCGAATTTCGTCAACTCCTGTTTATTCAACAGTATCGTCACAAAGTCTACCTTCATTACTCTATGATGTGCCATCGGATAAACTCCAAGATCTTTCAGTTCATCGTCTTTACAAAACCTATGTATGATTATATTTTATTTGATTTCACTTAGACTTGTATTTTTTTATTGGAAAATAAATTCTCCATGCATTATCAATCGGATGAAAATTTACGTCTAGTCTGCTAACCCTGGATGTAAGACATGTCTGTCCACATGTTTTACTGTGTAATTCGCGAATAAACGTGGCCCACATTCTCTTTCGGTTGATATAGACACGCGCATATCAGCCGTTTGACGAACATGATTCATGCTTATATAGCTGATTCAGTTCGTCTTCTATTCGAATGCACTTTTATATTTATCCGTTTCAGGTACGTATGTACTGTGACCAGTTCATTTTTTGTTTATCGATTAGTTGCATAGAATTTCGAAAAAGAAAAACAATCGAACGATTCTACTTTCATAAAGATGAGTCTAACAGTAGTTATTTTTTTAAGGTTTCATTCATTTATTTCATAGAGATAAATGTCTAAAGAGTTGATAAAACCTATAAAAGTCTAAAGAACGAAGAGAAGAAAAATGTTTAAGAACATCAATCACTTTAACAGTAAACACAAACACAAAGAAACGGAAAGAAGAAGAAAAATACACACATACAAGAATAAACTTATCTCTGGCTCGAAATCTCAAAAAAAGAAAACACATACGAAAAATGAAATGAAATCCTAAAAAAATAGGACGAAAAGACAAAAGAAAACCAATCGGCAACACTAATACGGACTAGAAAACTGAACATCAGTTTCTATTCCTACTATCAAACAAACAAACAGAAAAATCACATGCATCATTTAGCCTGTACATTACTTATACAAACGGAATGGGCAAGTGAGTGAGAAAAATACGCACACATAGATTTTAACGCAGTCAACAAACACAAATCTGTACTTAGCTGCTGTTTTTATATACAGTTTAATTTAAAAATTGTTGTTGTTATTTAAACGATAATAATTTTGTCGTTGGTCAATTTCATATAAATGACCGAATTCATTATCATTCGAAAGATAACGTAGATTATTATCATCGTCGGAATCGTCATCGTGTCTTTCAGTTGAATTAATAACACGAATACAATTAGCGCAATGACATTTTTTTAACACAGGACAAAATATTTCTCCAGTTTCATCATACATTGAATGAGCTAAAAGAATTTCGGTAAATTGAGAGAGCTTGTTTTTTTTAAATTAAACTTACAAGTATAAAGACATTCTGGCATATTATGACTTTTACAATGTCGACAAATTGTTTTAGAATATTGAGATTGTTGAGGAGGTTGTTGATGTTTTGAATGAAGCATATTATTATATTGATGATAATGATTCGGAGGATTTTCATCCGATGGTGATATACTACTTGTAGGCGACCAGAGAGAATTTGAAAATGAAGACGAAGATGATATTGACGGAAATATAATTGGTTTTCGACGAGATTCGCCTGGACCATCTCTACAATAAAATATAAGAATTGAAGAGAACAAAAAATAAAATTTCTTACTGAAAATATGTAAATGGTTCAATCATTGTTTCAGCATCAAATGCATAATTAAGCGGATCAAAAGCTGTTTCACGAAAATATGTATTAGTATTTTCCATCATTAATGGTGAAATTGGTTTTGTAAGAGTTTTATTACTAGCACCCGAATAATAATGATACATTGTTGTAAGAGAAGAGAGTGATGGATATACAGATGTGTCTGTCGAATAAAAGCGTTAAAAATTTAAAATGAATGATAATCGAAAGGGAAATATAAAAAGATGCTATGAATCTCTCATTCTCTTTCTGTCTCTCTCTCTCTCTCTTTCCTAGTTGATACATGTGTACTGGTGGACGCGAGGAACGAAAATTTAAAAAAAGAGAAAAATCGAATGAAAGAAGAAGAAGAAGACCTGGATATAGTATAAAATTACGTTAGTGAGTGGACTGACCGTATAATGAATAGTGAAAAAAATGCCCACGTGCCATGAAGAAGCAAGTTTCATTCATTCAGAAGATAGTAAGAGAAAGAATGGTGTGTGCCCGTCGATAGTGATCGGCAACATTATCGAGTACAATACCCCCTCTCAGACGGATTATGCGCCGTAAAAGTGCACTTGCCAGAATGAGCAAGTAATTCAAATAGACGGATGACGCTATAGACCAGCCAAAAAATCATCAGTCTTCCGTTGACTAAAATGACGTCATAGGCAATAAATAATGTTTCTTTATTGAAAAAGTAGAACAATTCAAGTTTTGCTGCGAATGAAAAAAAATGATATCATCGCAGTCGGAAAGATTTGCTTAATATTGACTACGGGATTTTCATTAATTATTATTTATGCACATCTCTTAGTTTATCGATAAATTTGAAGATCGATAATGCAGATTAATCTTTTTGATTTCTCGATTAATTACTATGTTATTGTTTTGGCTGGCTTCTTCAGCATTAGTGACTATGATTGGTTCATGAGGTGGCTGAGAAGGTAAATCAATCAGTTCATGTGGACCTTCGATATGTTCGATCCACTTGTTAATTGTATTTATTTTAGTGTTTGCTATATTTTTATTTGTTTTAATTGTTGATTTTAACTTTGGCCGACATAGACCACAACATGCCATAATCACAAACGATGAATTTCATTCATAATTACAAAAAAAAACTCGTTTCGGCGCCACTAAAAAACAATTTCGATATTTATTTTATTTTTCAGTTTCTATCGAATACTAATAATTATTATTTGCTCTGCATTCAAGTAAGCAGAACTCGTAAGAGACAATCTCCAAAGAAATAAAGTTTCATCCTTTATCCAGTTTACAAATTAGTTATTGTATCGCATCGGTCGTCTTGAGTAACAACGGGTACATAAGGGTACCTTTATCTCGTAGAACAAGTGTATTAACATATCAGGCGTTACTTAATGCGACAGATCATTTTATGAAAGATTTGGAATACTTGTATTCTCCTCTGTATAAGGATTATGAGCATTTTCGCAAGATTGATGAGCGATCGTATAACGAGATTAATTATTAAAAATTAATTTCGATAATTTGAAGAAAGAACACAAGAAACGATTGTTTTATTGATTCATGATAGTATTCGATTGTAGACAACATGCTCTAGACACATAAGTTTATCTTTTTTCTTTCTTTCATTTCGTCTGCTCGTCTCCCGGAAAGATTTAACCACTTATTATTCGGGAAAGAGAAAAAGAAAATCTTGGCAAAAACAAATAAGGCGTGCATTCGTTTCTCTTTTATATATTCTGTTTATATGTATATAAATGCTTGCATTATCTGAACAGTAAAATTTTCACTCTTACATTGTGTTCGTCATACATTTACTATCTCTATCCTATCGATGTCTCAAATAACTCGTGATTCTTCCGTAAGTTAATAAAAAAGAGACAAAATTCCAATAGAGAACCATTGTTTATTTAGAAGGATGATGGACGAATAGATTGCCATACTCAGATTTCTCCTGAGTATCAATTTGGTTTGTAATATTGTTTGATGTCAATGAAAAGAAGATTGTGTGTTTTTCTCTTATAGAAAAACCAGCCATTGATTGTTTGCTAGATTACATATGGACTCAAGAAGCTAGAAGACCAGCAATCGATACATTGATACAAGAATATCTAGAAACAGTGGGTAGTCCAGTACCGTATTTTCATGCACCAGGGTATTCAGCACCTATGATGGGTATTTATTGATCATTTGTTTTTTTTTGAAATAGCTTTCATATTTTTCTTTAATATAGCCATTGAATCAATCAATAATAATACGAATGCATATAGTCAACAAATACAAACTCCGAGTCGACCTATTCAACACTTGGAATCAGCTCCTTCGTTCTATTATACACCACCAACAAGTTCCGTTAATGATTCAAATGGTTGCTTTAATAATCATTATGAATTTCAACATACTGCTTCAACACCCTTACTTCGGTAATAAATTAAAATAATTTTTTTTCATTAGTTCTTTTCTTTAAATTTGTATTTAAAGACCCAGTTCCAGTCGGTCGTATCGTTCGTCATCGATAACAACTGATAGTATTGGAAATACACCGTCGAGTCGAATATCAATTTCATCTAACCAAGATATTTCAATGGTTGATCGATTTGTAAGTTGTTATAATTTTCAGTTTGAAGAATATTGACAATGTTTACCATTAGATTAATGAGTATAATAGTAAAGATAGTCGTTTGAAGCGAGCTGCTGCTCAAGAACGTCGACAAGCAACTCGTAAGTGTTTAAAATTTAATCAATAGGTAGATCTCGGAAGATTTTGTTTTGAAGGACATTTTGGAAAAGTTCAGCCGGGTTTGATATGGACATCAAATCTACCAGTTCGACCACGAAGTTTTTCTATGAGGCCACCATCATTGTCTTGCAAGGTGTTTCTCGGTGGTATTCCACATGATCTCAATCCAAGTAACTTTTTTATTTGATTTCTACAGAAAATGTGTTTTATTGATTCAATAGGAGACTTACAGGAACGTTTAGAACATTTTGGACCAGTCCGACTCGAATGGCCAAATATGGATCATATGTCTATTCAAAGGAATTCAGCAAATAGTACGAGAAATTCTTGTTTTAAATTAGATGGGCATTTTTCTATGAACTAGTTGTGACTGGTTTTGTTTATGCAATTTATGAAAATGAAGAATCAGTTCGTCAAATTTTGCATACATGTTCAACTAAAACTGACCGGTCATTAGACGATGGTCGTTGTGAATATTATCTTGAAGTTTTTAGTCAACGAACAACATCCCGGAGAAAAAGTGTAAGAAAAAACTTTTTTTTTTAAAATTTAAAATAAAAGTTTTCGCTCTCTAGATTCAAATTATTCCTTGGTTTGTGGTAAGTAGTTCAGCTGAATATTTTTTTTTTTGAAGAATATCATTTAGGAAGATTCGCAATGGTTAGCAGAAACTGATTTTCCATCGAATGGATATGGAAGTTGGGAGCAAAGACTTAATTCTACTGAATGTATTAATCGAACAGTATTTGTCGGTGCTCTACATGGAATGGTGACTGCTTATGCATTGGCTCGAATATTTCAAGAATTGTTTGGAGATGTAGAATACGCAGCTATTGATACTGATAGAAATAAATATCCTATTGGTAAATATCATTCTTTTCGTACAAAGTTTTTCTTCACGATTGGAAAGCATTTGGGCATGATTATTCCATTTATTCTCTTAAATTAGGGTCTGGACGTGTTGTTTTTGTCAATGCACACAGCTATTATGCAGCTGTTACTGCGAATTATTTAATGATTGAATGTGATAAATTTTGTAAAGTGGTATGTCTTTTTGTCGGTTCGATTTCTATTTGTTTTTACTGTTCTTTCATAATAGATACAAATCGATCCGTATCTATCAGATAGTGTAACTTGTGCAGGTGCTAATGGGCAATGGTGTCAAAATATGGGACAATTTTTTTGTCGCTCACTTAAATGTATGAAATATTATTGTGCAACATGTTGGGATTTGAATCCGAATCATGCAATAACACAAAATGGTATTAATAATAGTGTTGATGGTGAACCACCGGCTTTGATTCATAAACCATTAATGCGAAATTCTCGAACTCCATAAGTATAGTTAATTTTATGAATTTTTCGACGTCTTTCTACCGATGATTTTCACTAGTCTGAAAATTTTAGTCTTTTCTTTTTTATATCATGTGTTTTCTTTTCATTTTTCTTGTAAAAGTAAAGTTTTCAATAGGACCTAACAAAACAAGTGATTATGTATAAATTTGAGTTTTTCTTTTTTTTTTGCTGTTGTTTTTCTCGCATTCGTTATTGTTGTTTTTTTTTCTTTCAAACTATATCTGTTACTGTTGTTCTACTATAAACATTTTCGATGCTTTTTCGGTCTGTTCAATATTTCGTAAGATTCGATATATACTTTCCGATGAAACATAGAAAATGGGTGTGAAATTCAGATGAAGTCTGAACACACTTGAAAGTGTAATCTAAGTGTTATAACAATTTGAAATGAAGTAACAACGCATAACCATATCTTAATACACCAGACTTTTGTATGCAAAGACGATGGTCCATTGTAGCTTTTATTTAAAAAA